AAAACATTTTTGTGGAACTCACATATTTTTTCGAAGGAAACCAGTGAGTGTAAGTTTTAAGTTCGAGGTTTTTGCGGCGCCGCCGCCCACGACGCCGCGCCCTCCACCAACCAGGCGGCGGGCGCGGCCAACGATGCGGCCGCCCCCCCCCCCCCCCCCCCCCCCCACAACCCAAACCAGCCAAAAAAAACCCCCATTGGTCCCCCCCCCCCCCCCCCCCCCTTACAGACACCCCTCTTCTTACAGACTGCAACAACAGCGCATAAAATGCTGCAGATTTATTTAGCAATAAAAAGAAGCAATTTAAACAATATTAAGAATATCAGTTCGACTGCTATATAATATCTCAATACTTTCATACTTATTAAAAAAAAACTTATATATTTGGTTAAGTTCGTAATAATGTAGTCGTGGATCTTTCTTTCAATTTGAGCTTGCCTACTAAAAATCAAGGAGGCGAAGTAATCATATATATTGATCTGTTATAACAGTGATATAATTAATATGAGATGTATGATTTGATCTTTTTATCAGTGTGAATGACAATCAATATCGGCATTATGAATTGATTGAGACATAAGCTAATGTAAGATTTGTTAATGGATATAACCTATATTATTCTAATAGTTCTATTCATAAAATAGTTGATGGTGGAGAAAAATAATTTCAAATTAAACACAAAAAAGTGATTATTATCGAGTATATAGCAATAATTATAAATGAAATCGAGCGCGCTTAAATGAAAAAACAATATTTTCGTCTTTTAATATATTTGTTTAATGTACAAATAAATAATAAATTCCCGCTCTTTTCATAGATTCTCAATGAAAACAACTTTAGTTGACAAGAAAAATTTTTCAGTTTGCAGATGATTTATAAGAATAAAACGGTTGAAGGATATATGTGAGTTCCACATTTCAGCTCCAAAGGAGCTGCGCTAATAAGCTTTTTAGATTATTTAAGACTTATCAAGATGCCTATGCTAATGACCAGTTTGTTTTGAATGTGCACATAGAAGCAAATAGTAGCATGGATGACGAATCTATGTTCGACTTCTTGAAAATGCGGCGTTAAATATCGCTTGATATTTTCTGATAGAAATCAGTTCTTTTCATTTGTTCTAGAGTAACACATACTCAATCTGAAATCATATTTTATTTGCATAAGAAAACAAGACTAACTTGAGTTTTTTCCTCATTTTATTTAGTGTAATTGGTTATAATGAATTGGAAACTCTCAATGACTTGAGGATATAAATATTTTTTAACGACCTACCTATTTTTACAATTTTCAGAATCTGTTTTGAATGAAAATGTGCTCAGAGTTTCATTTTTTGTCTAATTTAATTAAAACTTTCTCGTGTTTAAACTGTTTTGTCTTCGGAGTCGAATCATATTAACATCTAATACCTGTTGTTAATCGAGAAAAAACTATTTTATGTGATAAAACATGTTCGGAATCTCTGGAATAACTTCAATGCTTGAGTGCAGCCAGCTTCTATATATATAAGAATGACCGTGTTCTTCAAATACTATATTTTGATAACATCATACCATATGGCAAATTTATTCAAAGTTTGCTTGGAGTTATGCTTATTACTGAATTGATGATTGTTGAAAAGCCTGGCGAAAATCAAGAATTAATAGATATTTCAAGTATTTCAACAGATGAATATAGAAAAAATTTTCGTTTTCTTTTCCATATGAAGGAAGTTAAGCAGTAACTTGATTTAGAAGTAATCATAAATACTATATAACATCAATCATTTATTTAAAACAGTAGTGTGGAGTATAAGTGAATGACGTAAACTGGAGTTGAAGAATTTCATTTCCCGCCATTTACTCGAACAACCATAAACGCTCTTTTGATAGATTAATTTTAAAAATAATAAATGTAATGAAAAACCATGCTGAAAATATTCGTGTCAGAAAAACAATTTCAGTAAGCAATATTGATCTAATAAAAATAGTCATCGCGATATGAAACATGCAGATGCTGGGCAAGTACTTGGCTGTGAAATTTTAAAAGGCAGAGTTCAAGAAAGCCAAGATAATAAAACTTTACTGCAGAAGTTATTAATGCGAAAGTAGTGCTTAAAGTATAAAAACTAAGTATTAGTGTGAAAACATAATAAAAAATCTATGGCAGTAAATACTAACACCTGGCTAAAAATGAACATTTAAACAGTAGATGTTCGTTCAAAATAAACACAATGAAATATCGGCCTAGCAAACGTCTGTTAATAAGTAGAATCGATCGTTTAAGCAACGAGTTCTTTGTGACGATAAGCACAAGGAATATATATATATATATATATTTTTGATTGTGCTGAATTTTATTCGTGACATCCATATATTTTTTTTGTGCTTTTCGATACAATTTTTGCGGACGCTTACGAAAATAGGCAGCAACATACAAGCTACCATAACAAACAGAGAAAGAATCACATGGAAGAGAAAACGAACAGAATATAATCGAAGTCGACAGTAATGACGCAATCGACATGCATTGCTGTTCTTCGTTTGTTTATTCTTCGGATACCGTATATCTTGTAAACAATGATACCGTAACACCGTGCCGGGGGAAGGAATCGAACCTTCTGATATCTAATTTTAGATGCATATAAACACTATGCCATCCCCGACTACAAGGAATATATGTAGAGTAATCATTCATAGTTTTCAACAACAGAGAATTTAAATGATAAATGTTCCTTAAAAATGTACATAACGAAATTTCATCATAGAAAACGTATGACAATAAGTAGAACTGATCGTTTAAACAATGATTTATTTCTAGGCAAGAAACACAATGAGAACTTGCCGTGTAACTTTACAGGAATAGCATTAAATGATCATTTAAACGATGAATATTTTTTTGAAAATAAACTTCATAAAACATTATGTGAAAAAGCACCTACGCATAGCTAAAAATGAGCATTTAAACAGCGATAATATCGCAAGTCAAACAAGCTCATAAATTTATAGAGGAATCGTCTAGAAATATTGTTTTTTTCCCGTTTGGATGGAGAATATTAATCGGTTAAGAAACGTGGAGAGCTTACTGTTACCATTGCCGTTCAATATGCATTAATTGTTGGTTTGAACGCATGACTCTTATGAATGAAATGTGAGATTGTTCTCTGAATTAAAAAATGATCATTTTATCTGCTTTCTAAGCGTTTAAACGTCCACAGGGATTTTGGAGTATTGCAGGCAAAATTTTGTGGACAATAAACGGAAGAAAACTCCAAATTCTGCCTGTTTTAACGGATAAACCATGAATTTATGGTATAAACACTGAGAAAGTTTCAATTCGATTTCTTTAAACGATTAAAAATATTGATTCTAGTAAAAGTATATGTTTTTATACTACAAATACCTAGAAACCCTTCGTTTACATTTCCAATTTTAAAAAAGCGTGAAAACACAATAATTCGTTGGTTTTTGGTGTTTAAACACGTTTTCTCAAAAGTTTATCTGCTTGGGCAGCTGGGTCAACAGGATTTTGTATCAGCCTCTCAGTACAAGGCAGCATCAGGGGCGTAGCCAGGATTTCTCTGAGGAGTGTGCACAACGCACACAAATAGTTCGAACCATCGCGTACTCAACTCAGAGAAAAATGAAGCAGCTTATTGTGAATCTAGAAAAACTTCTAGTTACTTTATAAGCAGTTTCTAATTATTTATCTGGGATAAAATAATCTATAAAGCTAAGTTCAACCTTTATTCAACAACGAAATGCAAAAACAAATACCTGTTCACAATGAAACTAGAAAAGAAAAGAAAGTTCTGTTTATGGTTTGGCGAAATTGATTCGCCTCTTGTTCTTGGAAAACACATCGATTACATGTTCTACATTTAAGTTGTTTGCAACATCACGATGAACATGAATTAAAGCAAGATCGCTCAAACGTTTATCACCAATACTATTTCGAAGCGTTGTTTTTATTCTTTTCATCGTGGAAAATGACCTTTCTGCTGTTGCAACAGTCACTGGTAGTATTGCAAATATTTCAAACAAACAATTTAAGTTAGGAAAAAATGATTTAATTGGAAGAAGTACATCTAAAGTAGTAAAAATATTTGATGGTCTTTCATTTGCTGGAGTTTTCTTCCATTTGTGTTGCCACAACTCAAATTCAGCTTTTACAACATCAATATTGTTCGATGGTAAATCACTTTGATAAAATTCAAATATATTATTTACATCAATTAATGTTTTATCAACAACAGTTGAAGGTAATAAATTAATAATATTAACTATATCCTTCTGATGTTTGCTGAATCTTGTGTCTAATTCTGACAATGTTGTTTCGACAAATATTTCATAAGTATGTCTTAGATAATCAGTAACATTTTTAAACTTATTTGTTCGTGGAATTGTGCACGTAATATCATTATCATGTAAGAAAATATCCAATTCATTAACAAGTTCATCGAATTTCTTTTCATTATATTTCAATTCAGCAAGATGTGTAGCTACATCTTGAATATTATCATAACATTGAGTTAATTCACAATTCTTACTTTGAAGCAGTTCTGTGTATGGTTTTAATATTGTAAATACACGTGAAACAACAAATAAACAAATAATAAAATCTAAATCTGTTATAGATTTTAAATAAGCCCGAGAATTAGCACTTGTCTCTGAATCACCATTTTCAATCATATATTCAAGTGCTACCATTATACTAGAAAAGAATTGTTTAAAGACTAAAATCGAAGTTTGTTTTTCCACCCAACGATGTTCAACTAATTTTGATAATTTTTGTCGTTTTGTATCACAATGTGTAGCTGTTATTGCATTCTTCAATAAGTTTTGCCTTTTAGGTGAGGATCTAATAAATTTTACAATTGTTTTAACTGTACCGAAAAATATTTGGATATTCCTGTCACCACAAGCATCACAAATTGCAAGATCTAATGAATGACTGGCACAGTGCACATAAATGGCTTTTGGTTCAATGGTGGATATAAGTTTTCGGACACCACCAATATGTCCGGACATAACGCTACAACCGTCATAACCTTGACCTATGTATGTTAAGTATACTTCATTATGATAAATGACAACAATAAGTTAAAACTCTACCTCGTAAATAAGCTAAATCAAGACCGGTTGATCGTAAATAATTAATAATATGTTCTGATACACCTTTTGCTGAATTATCTACAACAGGTTCAAATCCAATAAAATCTTCTTTTATATCTATTTGATTATTAGCATAACATAAATATCGAATAGATATAGATAATTGTTCAGTTCCACTAACATCTGAAGTAGCATCAACTATAACTGAGTAGAATTTTTTTTCTTCAATTACACGTTGAACAATTTCTTTTCTTATCATATCACCACAGATATTAATTAATTGATTTTGAATTTCTGGACTCATATACATAGCATTCTTAGGACAAGACTTCAGGTGTTGCTCCAACACCGTATCACCACATTCAGTACGAAAAAGAATTAATTCTTTGAAATTTCCTAACAAAATAAAAAGATTATATATTACATCTACTCGAATTCAAAATTCTATTACCTAGATTACCATTTGGCGTATGAAAAATACCATCATCATCATGGCCTCTGAAGGCTAAATTTTGTTTGCCAATAAAAAGAATACACTTAATGATACTTGATAAAATTTTTCTGTTTGTAGCTTCTTGTTGCTGATTTTCATTATCTAATATGAGATCAATAGATTTGTTGGGATTAATGTAATTTACGATGAAATTTTCAGCTTGTTCTTTAGAAAACAAATGATAATCAGTCTTTTCGTGTGTTTGAATAAAATGATGAGCATTGTTTAATGAAGTCAATGGTTTTAACACTAGTTGACCAAGAGAATTTTTAGCTGCATCATAGGCAGACCATTTTCGTTTGAACAAAACACAATATCGACATAGAACTCCTTGAAGAATAAGAGAATAACTTAGCCATGGATATGTGGATAACCAAGAATGTCGACAAACTGATCGCATCTTTTGATGCACATTAACTTGTGGAAATTGATATTTACTTGGTGGTGTCCATGGTTCTGTCAACAAGGCATACATTTCAGCAGTTGATAAATTGTCCTTGTTAACAATTAAACCGATATCGTTCTTGTTATACGCTTGAACTTCCGTACTAACTAAATTTTCATGATCAATTTGTTTAGGTTTTTTTGCCACAGAAGTACTACCGATTTCAGAAGTTGATACAATAGATGATTCATAGAGAATCCTAATAGGTGATAATGAAGATTCTGCATGTTCTTCTTGTGTAACAGCAGGTGAACTTGGTCTCGTTCTTTTATTCGATGAAAAAAAATGCGTCAAATTTAGTTCTTTACTCATCTGAAAAAAATGATAGATGAAAGTATGCATGTCACTGTTATAATTCCATATTTTCTACTAAAATTCTTACAAGAGCAAAACTCCAAGGGGTGTGCCCGGGCACCCTTTGCACACCCCCTGGCTACGCCCCTGGGCAGCATTGTCGTCGAATACAATCTAGACGCATTCTATAGGTCTGGTTTTTTTTGTAAACAATTTCTGAAACCTAAAATGAGTTGTTAATAAGCAAAAATCGGAATTCCAGTTGGAGGTCGGTTTTATTACCTTTTGGCCCCCTCGTCGACAAATTAGTATTAGTCTACTGTATACCTGTTAATTTGTGTTCTGACGTGTTTTCATGAGAGCAATAGAATAGAGTATGTTAGTTCTCAACTAAGAGCATTGGTGAATCAATTTCGGAACTTTTTATAAGTTCTTTGATACATGAATATGAAACTTAGCTTTGAATTGAAACACTCCCAGAAATCTAGTGAGTTAAGTCGATACCGACATTCAAGGATTTATGTGGACATATTTCACTTTTTTAGAATAAAATTTTAACTATGTTGATATGAAAAATAATGATAATCTTGAATAGTAATTAATGCGTAAAATGTCTTTAACCTTAAACATGCAGGACTGAATTCTTCTCAAAATCAGTTTGGTTGTTGTTCTACTCTTACAATTTGATTATTGTTATTCACAAGATAATTTTACGAGTGAACAGGACTCAATTTGCTCATCATTTTTATTTAACAAAACTCTGAATTCAATTCTCGTAGTATAGCTCTTGGTACCATGAAAATCTGTAACTGAATAGCGCGATCTTCCTGTAGTAAAAAGTTGAATAAGGAATAATTTCGAAATAGGTTTTGCAGAAAAATGACTAGAATTAATTCTAATTATATTTCATCAAAGGAGAGCATTCAAAAAGAGATTAAAAATTGAAAATATCACAGAACTGAAAGTTAATAGTAACAGATATAGTCAAAAAACTTCATAAAACATAAAAACATTGGTTTGATTTGGTGATCAGCAGAAAATATCAGAGGCAATCATTGTCGAATGGTATAATCGTCTTATTCTTAGAGCAAAATGTTGTAGATGTTAGTATTAACTAATATCTCGGCTAAGAATTTAAGCCTAGCTTGGGAGTGAGGTCGAAAAATTTCTAGCATGATCAGACCAAGTCAACTTTTCAAAAATTCAGTTTGCCTATTAGCCTAGTCTGCTGCCTGCCAAGCACCTGGCAGAAATCTTACTAGGATGGCAGCTTTGGTATGTGCTCCAAGAATTATGCCTGATTTTTTGAACATTTAGCTCATACTTTTCGTACTGAATTTCAGATTTTTCAATTTTGAGATTGTTGTTAAATGTAAGATGGGTGTATTGCAACTTTCGAGAAGCAAAAGACGCCATCTACATCTCATAACCGGATCAGTCATCGGTTCAGGTAGAATGAAAGCTAATAACTTCAATTTGACAGGTTGACATCCATTTTAGTGCTTATGATTAGCGTATGGTACACAGACCACTATATAGATAGTCTGCCTAATAATAATATGAGAGTTTCTATGTTTCATCAACGACCCTTTTACTCTACTAATGCAGCTGACGTTTCTCGTCTCGTTTCGTTCCTTTTCCCAGCAAACAAAGCTTTCCATTGTCGAGGCGTTGTCTACGACCAGTATTCAATTGCTGAACTTGGTCAAATTCAACCTGATGCACAGTGGCTCTCTCATCCCTTACCTCACGAAATAGACCGAGCAGGATATCCATTACCATGGTGGCCGCCGCGCAACATCAGTTCACGTGTGTCTCGCCACCTGTTACCGATATCACCATCAACTAGAACGACATTGGCGTATGTCAACGAAATTCATATAATTAGTGATGCGTCATTTATTGATCGACATCGTCATTTGGAACAAGTTTTCAACCGCCACGATATTCCAATTGAATCGATCCGGTGGCGTTTCGAATGGAATCGGACGACATGCAACGCGAAAGAAAACCATCAGTATGTGCGTAAAAGGCTAAATATGAAACCAGGTCAGTTCGTGCAACTGCTCTCACACAATTTTAAATAATCATCTATCGTTTATAGGAGTGCTTATAAGAGAGAAGATGTGTCCAATCATAATGAAGCATGTTGATGTATGGTACGATGTAGCCTTACGACAAAATTCACTGGCACTTATTTTAGAGGATGATCCGCTCTTCGTTCCATTTTTCAAAGAGAAGCTCAATCGGCTCATTTATACTGCTATTCGTACTGGTGCTCTTCGTGTTAACGGCACGTGTGTTGCACCCTCTTCTAATCAGCCAATGGCAGTAGATGAATGGATCAACCAAGAGCCTATGTTCGTCCTTGGTGCTTGCTTCAATCTTCACGATAATCAAAGTTTTCGTGCAGACCAATGGAAGGCAACACCGGTGCTCTCAACACAAAAGCTACGAGTTAGCCGATGTGCCCATGCATATATCATTACAGCATGCACCGCGCAAGCCATGGTTAGTGCACTCAATGAACAATATACTGAAATCGATACACCAGATTTTTTGATGAATCACATATTCCCAAAATCAAGTTTATTGCAATCGTTCTGGATCGATCCACCTCTTGTCTATCAAGGCAATCGTGTCGATCATGATATTGATCAGCTGCAAACTTTCAAAGAAACAAAGTACAACTTACCACTTTAACATCATAGCACATACTGATTCTCTAGAATCAACGTCGTACATAACGTTAGACTTACTAAGAAAAAACTATAAGAAACAGTTAGTGAAGGGTAACACTGTGACCGAACAACGTGAAAACAGTTTAATAAGCGAAACCGAACAAAAACCATCCAGAAAGATTTCTATCAATGCATTACTTCCAATTATGTTCCTCCCAGTAAACCTTTGTCTCCTTAAACATTGGAAGATTGCAACGATGAACCAACAATCTTATTGCTTGTCGAATAATTCACAGCTAACATAAGTACAAAACAAAAATAACTAAGCTTTCTTTGAGCAACGTCAATTATGTCAGTGCACAATGTAGATGATGTGAGTGCAGAGTATGAGTGGATGTGGTTGACCATAAAAGTGTGAAAAGGAAAAATATTAAAGAAACGAAGGGAAAAAAAGCCGGGAACGAAAAATTTTGGACGCAAAAAGCATCAAAAACATAATATCGATATGGAAAATGCTAGGAAACTGTTTTTAAAGAGTTGCAAATATTAAAGAACATGTTTAGTTGCATCAGAATGTGAATATGGGTGTGGCTGTGAATGTAGGTGTGGGTGATCTGCTTTGCTGACTAAAACCCACGCCAACACCTATACCCAAACTCTAAACCATACCCACAAGCAAACCACAACCACACCCAAAACCGCACCCACACCCATACTTACACCCCATACCCCGACCCCCACACCAACACAACACTCACACCCATCCATATCCACTCCCACACCCATCAATATCCACACTCACACCAATCCATATCCACACTCACACTCCAACATTTTTCTTTTCGATAATGTCATCTTCTAGCTAAGCATTGCCATGTCTAGTTAAAACTGATGTTCTTCATTAATGTGTACGGGTTCCCACAGGAATATTGACTGGTCTAGGGTTTCCAAATTGTGTCATTCCATATCCAAGCTCGTGTTTTGTCTGTTTCAGTCGCATGCTTCCAGTTACCAATAGGTTTCGATACATGCAGTTTCTCTATTGATAGGACTTTATCTAGTACGCCTTGTTGAGCAAGCAAACGTGTTTGAACGAAAAATAAGTCTACACCATGCTGCTCTCCATATACAAGTGTATACCCATAAGCACGTCCTAGTGCCGCTAAAGCTAGAATTCCAGCTCCAAAATGCATAGTGCCCGTCCATCGACGTGTATATTGATTAGGATTTACCACTCGGTTTTCGTGTGATGGTATGTCATAGTTGAATTCAATCACTACTGCACGAGCATGGAATTTGTTTGCTTGTAGTATTGACTTCCAAACCCAGTAATCGTCGAAACTATACGCAAGAGATAATCACAATAAGATGAAAGAGACTATCTTACTTGATGTCAATCGAAAGGAGATCGATAGTGGCTGGAGTCTCATATTTTTCCAGCAATTCGTTGATATTCTTTGGAGTGATTATCTCCCGGCGGAGATTAATAGTAAGGTTTTCATGACTATCATCCATCATGAGACCTCGCCACCCAAGATGCTCTCGCAGAAAACGCGTGTTACATTGATCACCATTTTGAACACCGAACTCAACGAAATAGGGAGGGCGATTAATCGTACCGATATTGGCGAAGATCCAGAGGAGTATTCCATCGTCACCAAATTGAGAAAAGATCCGGTACTCGTGTTTCTTAAACTCCATAGTCCAGTTGAAACTTACTGGAGCGAAAGCAACCATCGAAAATTTCACATGATTCCAACCTGCTGACCAAGGTCGACCGAAGAAGGATACTAATATGACTATGCTACCAATTGATATTGTTATGAAGATCACTCGGAATGTGGTGTATACTAAATTATAAAAGAACTCATACGGATGAGTTTTACTAATTTCGTTAACAATTATTACTTGTACTATGCATCATAACAAACCGATAAAAGAACTTATTGGTATCAGGAGGAACGTTTGCTATAATGTATTACTTCTTTGGTGATAAACGGGATGAAAGACCAAGATCTAAGTAAAAAGGTGATCTATTTATCATGATAATGTATTAGTGATCATGAACTAATTTTCAGTTTATTTTATTTTAAAGAAAACTTTATAACAGAGAGCAAGGAAGAAAACAGACTAAAAGATGGATAGAGAGAAACGAAGGAAAAAGTGCACCAGATTTTTCATGTGAGACATTTTCAATTTCTTTATTGAACGATTCTGAAATCTTCTAGTCCACAAAAAAGAAATAACTTTTCAACAGTGCAGAACTAGAACAAATACGGAGAATTCATAACTAGGGGTACACCAGCTCAGTTCAAGTTCACTTCAAAAAAACTCTTCGAACAGTTCTTTTGAACTGAACTGTGAAGTGAACTGGTGAATAGGTTCATTTTAACTGTGAGCTGTGTTCCCAAAAACGGAACACTTTTGTTCTGGTTTGAGAACACAGTTCACGGTTCAAATGAACCGGTTCACTTCACAGTTCAAATGAACCGGTTCACTTCATAGTTCAAATAAACCGGTTCACTTCACAGTTCAAATGAGCCGGTTCACCAGTTCACTTCACAGTTCAGTTCAGTTCAAAAGAGCTGTTTGAACAGTTCCTCTGAACTGAACTTGAACTGAGCTGGTGTACCCCTATTCATAGCGTGGAAGAGAAATCCAGTCAACTGATTGACAGACCATTGACCAACGAAATTAAAGTAAAAATTAGATATTAAGTTCCAAAAAGAAATGATCATCGAACGAAAAGTTCACTGTAAACAGTCACAATTGATTCCTAATGAGTGCTTGGGAGAATTTATTTTGTACTAAGTAACAGATTAAGTGCTTATTAATTATATTTTCTTTTGTGCATTTCTTTCTTATGAACACAGATCATTGTACATATATCATAGGCAAAATTGAATTTAGGCAAAATTGATTACATTAGGCGCAACATTTTTATATATTTTTTTTGTTGTATATTTTTTAATTTAGAAATAATTCTTAATTATCGTATTTATTCAGACATTTCAGCCGGTTGATCGACTATTTTATTAATGAATATATCAATAATCTTTGTGTAAATATGATTGATACGATACATTTTCTACTTTAAAATAGTGAACGGAAAGTCTTATGCAAAAAATGAAATTATAATCTAATTATAAAATATTTAATTTTTCTTCTTTTTTCGGGCGATATTTTTTTTTTTTCGTCTGACTAATTAAAAAATTCTTTTAATGTCAGAGAATATTCGTTATTCAATCGTAAAAATCTGATATCTACTAATTATGATCTTTTGAATCACTTGTTGACAACTGTCTCCATTTTTTGTATATTAATTATCCGACGTAATGGATGATGTAAAAAGGTGCCGACAAAATGACACAAGTGATTTTGAGTTTTATTCTTATTATCTTCCCAAAAAAAAAGAAAAACTTTTAAAACACATATTTACTAGTGTTATGTCTCTTATCTTCCAATGACGACAGAACGGAGAAAAAGAATCCCCCTTCGCATGGAATCGAACCATGCACCTTCTGCTTACAGGGCAGACGTATTAACCACTGTACTAGAAAGAGTATATCTTCTCCGTCTTACGATTGTATCGGAACAATACGATCGTAACAACTAGTTAGAGTTTATAATTTATAATGATTTTTTTCTTCTCTAACTTTTCTCCTTTTTTTTGGTCGGTGAGAAACAAGTAACGCTCTTCTGTGCGACTCGCTTGACCCTCGACTGCATATTCGCCCCTTTCTATTTTTTCTTTCAATCGACAGTCTTCAATACAGCTAGTATCCGATGTTCCAAAAGGGTGGGTAGGTATGTGTACGCTGGCATTAACGTCAATATCATTGTGCATAATTGTATGCGGGCCCGGATGAACATTTTGTCACGAATGCATCCAATGAAATTGATACCCTCACATTGGCACTCAATAATAAATCTAAGCAACCACACTATGACGACGATATCCATATGTACCCAAAAAAGGAGCTTATATTTAGGTTCCTGAGAGATAATGAAGCAAAGCTCATTCGCGACACTTTCGTGAAAACGTGCCATACTCCTTAAAATTTTTATTATAAGTTCGTTCGCTTATTGACACATCTGCGGACAATATTGTTTACTAGAGTGTTCGCTAGAAAAATAGGACTTACTTGAACTTCTAGCTTACAATTAATCATATTAGGTCTGGTCTATAATCGAACTGCCACACTTGGAAGAAGCGCCCACTGATAATAGCCATCAGACTAGATAGGTAATTTCAATATATCCATATATATTTCAACATTTGCATCAGTATCAAGAAGAAAGCATCCCACCTAGGAAACCCCCGTTTATTTCATTCAAGTAGCATTCCGATAGAACGAATATAAGTTCTATAAATAATGTTTTCCCTCAAATGTACTATTCAAATATCGCAGACGTGCAGAAAAGCCGTTCTCACACTTCATTTCAAAATATTTCTCAGTTCTTAGCAACTGCTACTCCTTATTCAAACCCGTATGACCTAGACTCTGGAAGTCTNAAAATAGTCACTTTTCAAGCGTGAAAACGGTGGAAAACTTAAATTTCTAGTGTTAAAACGTTCTCTTTTTCTAGATTTAAAAAACGACGTGTTTAAACGCTCAGTTTTTTATATTTTTGCCGTTTTCACGCTTGAAAATTGACTATTTTGCACAAAAAACGTCGTTTCTTGCGTTTTTTTAATGAGCGTGAATGGATCACAGTCGCGGTTCCCGATTGTGCGTTTAAACGCGTTTTTTGAAATTTTTGTCTGCTTGGGCAGGGTCGACATGTAATGATAAAAATGAGAAAGAGATTATGTTATGGCAGACTGGAGGAGTAGCTAGCCGCTACTCGGCAATGATGTTTATTAGCTACTTTACATCTCCAGAATGTGTCTATTGCACATTCAATACAAGCTTATATATGATACAGAAACAAAGAGAGAGAGATGACACAGAGAGAACAATAGAGAGAGAAAGAGGAAAGAGGAAGAGCAGCGAGCCGTGACGCATATATTGGCACACCCTCCCACTCAGATCAGACGCGCTCCTGAGCGTCTTTACAATTTAGAAAAAACAATCAATAAAAAATTATATCAAAACAAGTTCATCGTTTGAACTTAATCGTAGAAATCAAAGTAATATAGAAACGAAAATTTCGAGTTTCACACGTAATTTCATATCAACACCCGTTTTCACAGTATTACAACATCGAGTCAAGAACATAGCAATCAAAGAAATAGAGAAACAAATTTTACGAAGAAGTGATCTTTACATTGCAAACTCATGAATTCGGCATCACATTTCAGATATGAATAGAACATTATTCAACACGAACGCGGCATACAAATAGTGATCTTCACAGCTTCAATCATCATAGAAAAAAAAATTTTGATAGAGCGCACAGAAATGAAACAGTATAGAAATATATAATTCATAACACACGTATTATCAGTCACGCTTTTCCTCACATTATTAAGTTCTTTGTTTATAGTTTCGATCGTCAAATCACACGTATCAGTTTTAAAGAACAAGAAAAAAAAACCATCAATCAATTTCAACAGTTTAATACATTTTTAGTCCTCAGAAGAAAGGTAAATATTCTTATTCAAAGATGACAGAAACTCTAGTCTAGTGCATAAACGATACCTAGAACGGTTTCTTTGTATGTTTAACATCAGATCAGCTCAACAGGCATACATAAAAAAAATAGCAGAGCGAAAAAAAATTTACATTACACCGCAGATTATCGGACTATCAAAGACAATAGATTATGAAATTATTCTATCTTCACGCTTCGTTAGGCAAGAAAAGAAATTCACACTTCATATTTAATATAATCAAACCTAACACTTTCATTACATTAAAAATTTTTCACTGGCTCCAGGCATTTCGAGGATGAAATCTTTTTGTTTTAATTTTGTGCATCTTCTCATATCTGATTGTTACGCATCGTTAGTCATCAGGATGGTCGGTAGAATGAACTGTTGTTGATTATCGACAAGAATAACCGAATGTTGATGATGAATGAATGTCAATTGTTTACGGCCGATACACAATTAATTTCATGTTCATCGATGTCCATTTATTCTTTCGTCGCTTCATTTTTATTTTTTAGGCAGAGAAAATAAGTTTGAATGATGTGCAAAACGACTCGTAGATTCGAGAAGAAATGACATGAAACGTACAGATTTTACAAAGGATAGTGCGCCAAGCCTACGCATAGCCGGCCCGAAACATAGCCGCCCTTTAGTACGTCCACTGATGAGCTGTGACAGTGCCCACAGAACTTAAAACACTGCCATGTCATTCAACTCTACTCGCCGAATACATTTGTCACTCATTCAAATTATTTACCGTGCCTTGGTATCAACTGGTATCTTCAATAGAAGTTCGATAATTTTGAATTCTTCTTTCTTCTAATATCTTCCAACTTCGTTTCAGAATATGCATGGATTCGTTCGCCACCCAGGCAGACAAAACTTTCGAAAAACGCGTTTAAACGCACAATCGGGAACCGCGACTGTGATCCATTCACGCTCATTAAAAACATGCAAGAAACGACGTTTTTTATACAAAATAGTCACTTTTCAAGCGTGAAAACGGTGGAAAACTTAAATTTCTAGTGTTAAAACGTTCTCTTTTTCTAGATTTAAAAAACGACGTGTTTAAACGCTCAGTTTTTTATATTTTTGCCGTTTTCACGCTTGAAAATTGACTATTTTGCACAAAAAACGTCGTTTCTTGCGTTTTTTTAATGAGCGTGAATGGATCACAGTCGCGGTTCCCGATTGTGCGTTTAAACGCGTTTTTCGAAAGTTTTGTCTGCTTGGGTTGTGCCATCTTGTTCTTTTATGACGGTCAATTTTGGTGCGTACTTGTTTTTTAAGATTTTTACCAAATTGTACGCTTTTATGCTGTTGCCAACTTGTAGTCCTTTTTCAATTTCTTCACATTGATCTTGTATCCACTTTTCTTTGTCCTGTCGTGCCGATTTTTTCACTTTGTTACATAGGTTTTTGTATTCTTGGATGCTGTCTGCTGAGAGATGTTTGATTTGTTTTTCTTTTCTTTTCTTATCTGTCAGATCTAATGTTTGATCGAAGATCCAGGGCTTTTTTGACGTTTTTTCCAATGTGGCAGTCGCTTGTAGTGCTTCTTTGACTGCTTTTTCAATTTGTGCTGCATGTTCATCTAGATTGCATGTTGAGTGAATGTTCTTTAAGTTGTCTTCTATTCTTGCTTGATATGATTGTCTGGTTGTTTGGTCTTTAAGTTGGCTCATATCATATCGTTGGTTGTGTCGTGGTTTGTTTTTCAGTTTTAATTTGATATTGCACAGCACCAATGAGTGGTCTGAGCTGATGTCTGCACCTTGGAATGTTCTACAGTTAATGACAGATGTTTTCCATTGTTTTTGAACGATCACTAAGTCGATCATGCTTTTGTGAATGCCATCTGGTGATTCCCATGTCCATTTCCGATTTGATGTTTGCTGAAATCTTGTGTTACAAATGAATAGATTGTGTTCTGCAGCAAACTCCGATAGTCGTTCACCGCGTTCATTTCTACTTCCATAGCCGTATCTACCCATGACGGACTCCCAACCGGTATTATCAGTTCCCACCTTTGCATTCCAATCACCCGTGATGATGATCACATCTTTNTTAGTTTGGCGTTGAGAGCTTTCATTTGACCCGAACATGTGCCACTTTTTCGCTCAACAATACACACACCTCCATCGTCAGATGATAAAAAACAAAGTGAATATACCTTTGCACTTTTTGAAGTACACATAACACTCGGATTTAAATCTGATGTTTTCGCATTTATTTTTAAATAGTACAACAAATCAAGTTCATGCTATACATGATCTTCTTGTTTGGTATGAAATTTTTGAATTATCACCTTCTGGAGAGTAAGTTATTTTTTAAAAATATTAATCAACAAAGAAAAATAAGTTATATATTTTAAACAATGAATAGATATGCTGCTTCAACAGTTGATCATTCAGACGATGTTCCATGTTCAGGTCGATTTATTCTTCATCAAGGTATTCAACGTCGTATTGGAATAACTCTTTGTCATGAATCTGGTTCTGAACTTATTTGGAAAGATGTTCAAGAAGTTGTTGTTGGTAAAAAAAAAAAAAAAAATCTTCAACTAAAAAACAATAGAACAAAATTTAATATTTATCTTTTTCTAAATAGGTCGTATTCGTGGTCAACGTGATTCAGTTTTTGATGAATCCGATGGTCAAGTATTATCATTAAATATAATCTCAGCTCATTATATTCAAAAACAACATGATGAACGAACATTTTATCATTTTGAAGTTGCATGGGATTCATCATTACATAATTCTTTATTACTTAATCGTTGTACGTCAAGTGGAAATTCTGTTTATTTAACAATATCATCATATCTTGAAATGGAAAATTCTTTTCAACCAGCTATAATAACAAAAGATCTTTGTCTTGTTTTATATCCACGTGGTGGTGATTCGACATCACGTATACGTTCATCATTAAAAAGTTTTTTCTTATCAACTAATTCTATAACATCACCATATAATGATTTAATGAATGAACATTCAAATCGTGTATCAGCTGTTTATGAATTAAAATTACGACGAGCAACACCAATGAATATTATGGCACAAGATACATCAATTATTGGTTCTGATATGCAACGACGACAAAGAAAAGTAATTGATACATCAAAAATTTATGTACGTGGTGAAGAAATGTTAGATGGTTGGAGACCAAGAAGTGATTCATTAATTATTGAACATCAACAAGATTTAGAAAAATTATATAAAATTGAATGTGTAAGTTTGTTTTTTATTAATTTTTCAAAACAATTATTGAAAATATATGATGGAATTTTAATTAGGTTGAATATACAAAACATTTTCTACAAGTAAAAGATCGTTTAGAAAATCCGTTATCATCACCAAATGATAATTCACCAGAAAAAATTAAATATTCATTAAATACAATTGATCCATCAAAACCAATTGATAATCGTCAACAAGATTTACTTCGTCGTTGTGTATCAATGATGTTACCACCACCTTTAATTATACATAAATTAACTATACCAGATATAGAAGTAAATAATTCATTTAAATTTATTTACAAAATTAATTTTTTTGTTTCTTTTTCTATTAAATAAATAAATAGGTAACTACTGATCGTTTATCATCAGATGATTTTGGAACAGTTCATTCATTACTTAAATCAACATCAACATATTCGTTTAATTCACAACCATTACATATGAATACAGCAAATATGATTAATTCATTTATTAAAGCATCTTCTAGTAGTTCTGATCTTTCAAGGTAAAAAGAAAAAATTGAAATTAACTAAAATCATTCAATGACAACAATAAAATAATTTAATAAAACTTTCATAGAGAGAAAAGATTATATTAAAAATACTCACAATTTAATTATTTTCATCTCGGAATACAATTATAAGCAATCTCATATTAACCGTTTTTGTGAAGTATGACTATAGAACGGGATATATGTAATCAAAAATTTATCGAAAAACTTTCAGTCATCTTTGAATTCTCTATTGACTTAACAATATCTCTTTTCTTCAATACGAAACTTGACGGACAGTAGAAAACCAAACGAACATTTACTATGATGTTAAATATTTTTCTTGAAATAATTTTCTAAGTAATAGATAATCATTTCGTAGTAAATGAAAGGTGTATATCGGTCTGTTTATACGAAAGCTCTTCATTGTGTGATGATCATCTTTGTAATGTCTGTCATAGATTATAATAAAAGACAGTTGAATTTGAGATTGCTGTTTATTAGCCTTTCTTTCATATTGATTATAAAATATTACGATTATTATCTTTTATCATCGACATGCATTAACAGTAGATAGCAATTAACAAATTGAAATTTATGTTAGCGAATTCCTTTTTTTTTTACAATCTCAACAACTCGATCATGTGTCATATTTTAATCACGTAGAGATACTGCAAAAAACTGCTTTTCATCATATGGATGTAGTATCAGATTTTACACTCAATATTCTACTAATGGACTCATTCATATAGAGTATAGTTTTAATCGTATTTTCATTAAAAAAGAAATGAGTAGAGAAAATGACAGAAAATGAATTCCGAAGAAATTCTTTATGTTTTCTTTTCTACAACAAAACTTCGTTGTAAATTAACACGAAATTCATGTTGTAATATTCGACTTTTTTTTATTCTTCGATATCTTAGTCAGTACTAAAAGATAAGTGAAAAGCACAAAACATGATGACTACACAATGTTATTATAGAATCAACCGGAAACACATTTAAGGATAAAATATGTTTGAATAGATTTTTCTTTATAACGATGAACAAAATTCTGATTACAGATGTTTTTTTTTGGTCAAGCACACATTGTGAAAGAATGATGTATAAATAATGACTAACATTTTTATTGTTCAATTATCCGAGAACAAAATATCATATATCAATTGATAGAAAAACTAGTAGAACCTATTGAGTTAAACCTGTCGGACAATGACTTCTAATGCAAAAAATAATATACTTCGATATTTTTTGAATATTTTGAGATAAAGTTTGCTAGAAACTTGCGATTTTCACTAGAAGACATGACAGTAAAGTAAAATTGTGCTACACTATCTCGAGTATGAATTCTTCAAAATTAGTCAATATTTGATTAGAAGTTTTCGAACAAAATGAAAGTTCTCAATAAATTATAAGTTTGAATTATCGATAACGATGATATTCCGCTGTCGATCCACATAAGAGAAACCGAAAATTTTAACCTAACTGCCAAAGATCTTATTGAAATCAAGAATAATCATCACCTTTCAAGTCGAATATTTCAAATTTAATATTGTTTAGATTGAATTGAGCGATTTCAAATCTTTCAGTAAAACTCTTATGGCTATTGAATAGTTTAAGTTAGTAGAGTTAACTTTATGTAGATCGACAGAGAATTATATCTTACTGTTAAGAATGCTTTCAATGCTTTTTATCAATCCTCGAAATATTTCTTCCATATGCTCCTGTAACAATCATTCAACAATTAATATGAATAAATCTGTTTTATATTTAATAGATTTGCCCATTTGGATCCATCTTATTCAATATCATCATTACATCAAATTGGTGGTATGACTGGTTCAATATCACCTAGTATGCCAAAATCACGTTCAATGGAAAGTTTAATGAATACATCAGGTATTGCATTAAAATACATTCCATCAATTGAAGAAGTTCGTATATCACCTGTTGTATCACGTCGTGGTTATTTAAATTTTCTGGAAGAAAAAGGAACTGGTTGGATAAAAAAATTTGTTGTATGTATTTAAGTTACAACAATTTTGATTTATTGTTTATTGTTTTATTAGGTTGTACGACGACCATTTGCATTTATATATAATCATGAAAAAGATCCTGTTGAACGTGCATTAATTAATTTAGCTATAGCTCGTATTGAATTTAATGATGAAGATATAGCTAGTGGAACAAGAGTATAAAATGAATTTGAAAATTTAATTTATTATAAAAAAAAAAAACAATTTTTTTGTTTGTTTGTTTAGAGTGCTCGTAATACATTTTCTGTTGTATCAAAATATCGTGGTTTTCTTATTCAACCATTAGCTGAAAAAGATGTTCATGATTGGCTCTATGCATTTAATCCATTACTTGCTGGACAAATAAAGTAGAAAAAAAACTTTCCTTTTTATTTTAATTATTGATTTAAATAATTATTATTAGATCTCGTTTATCCGGTCGATCAAAAGTAACTATTGATTAAAATTTGAGAATAATCAACGCTCAAATGGTCAGATTATATGACGATTACTTTGCAAGACATGATTTTTCTTTTTTTTGACAATATTATTTACTTTACAAAACAAAACAAAAAACCAAGACAACTTTCTTTTTTTTTTCTATACATATACGCTTATGAATCAAAATCAAGTATAATCTAGTCGCTCTTTTCTTTTTTTTTATTAATCAACTATATTTGTTCCTTTTCTTGTGTTGCTGACAATATATTGTTGCATAAATATTTTTTCCATGGAGTTTTATTGGTGTCTTTCAGTGTTCCTTTTTCTCGTAATTTTATTTTCGTGTATGTATATGTATGAAGATAAGTCAATATATATATATATGTATAGGTGTGTGTGTGTGTGTTGCATAAACAGTAACACATTTGTATGGTTTATGTAGTCAGTTTTATCTATAAAAATAATAAAATAATATGTCTCTCTAAGAAAATAATTTTTAGTAGACTTTCAATTGAACAAATGTTTAGCGCTATTTCGAATTGATGGGCGCATGTTCATATCAAGATTTTGTTATCAGTAAATTGTTACTATTCGTTCGTAAAAAAAATTATCCATGACGAAAGAGAAGCACCGATACAACGTATTTGCAACTTCTACTGTGATTCTTCTGATAATTCCGTAAAAGATACGGTAAACTATTTCAAAAAGCAAACCATTCCATATATTATGTTTAGCAAAGTATTCAAAATATGGAATCACAAAAGATCAGTCTCGAAGTAGTCATCCGATCAAACTATGCAACAAGACTCGGACTAATTAGTATTGTTAAATTTGTGAAGAATCAGTGAAGTCAAAGTTAATGTAACATGGCACGATGATTTCGAGTACACCAGTCAACAATTTCATGTAATCTTCCAAGATGAACATCAATTGTTACAAGAAAATGCCGAAAAACTTCAAAAAGTGATTGGTAAACAGCAATAAATTCGAGGAAAAAAAGCCTGTGACAAACTATATCGAAAATTGTTAAACGGGTGTGATTTAATTATGGACAATGAAAATTGTTTCATAATAATTTAGATAAGCATGTTCTTGAAGAGAGTTTCAAATGAGTTAAGGCACATATTTAAAAGGATGTATTAATAGATTTAGCAAGGGTACATTATTCAAACAATATTCAAAAACGTTTGAATTATAAAAACATATCAGTTTTTTTTCGTGCTGACAATCCACCTAACGTACCCCTCTAACTCATCGAGTTAAAATTGTATGAACTCTACTTGAACGAAAAATAGATGAAAACGATTGGAAAGCAAAAAAACTTGATTAAGAAATGTTGCAAGTTATGATAGAGAATGTTCAGAAGAAGTTTTAAGTTATGTAGTAAGAGGAACTGTATTGAGTTTTCTAAATACAGATTATTGTAGTACTTGTCATGCGATATCTAATTAAAAAAAATTAATTTTCCATCTTCTAAAATGGTTGATCTTTGTAGCTCATTATTTTTAATTCTTTACAAAGATCACTTTTCTGAATAAGTTCTTTTAGCATAGACGTATGTGAGAATGTTTGTTCCATCAGCTAACACTTAATTATAATTATTTAAGAACTAATTAAAAAATTGATCTCTAATAATGTGAGAAAAAAATCTAACGTCTAAAAGATAGACTTTGGAGTACGAACCACATCTATAATAAAATTTTCAGCAAGATTGGCCAAAAAAAAAATTTCTTCTTAAAAAACCGGTTTTATAGAGATCTCATCTAGTTCCGAAACAAAATATTTTATCTTATTACCATCTGGAGATTCTGAAGAAACATATGTACTGTTCGGAATTGATTTTGAACTTTTCATTCAGTTATAAGAGCGTTTTTCACTTGATTATTCGCATCCAGTCACATCATTAACGACAAGTAAATTGAATTTTTTTGAGAAGTTTAGGAGTGCTCAGAGAAAACTTTAGATAGTGATGTAATAGCCTCAAGAATTTTTTTATCGAATGCTCCATTTACTTTTTTCAAATTACTGCTGCATATCTGAACTTTTTTAAAACCAACATGCACGGAAGGATAACCGATGTCCTTTTTTTGAGTTATATTGCTAATGATAGTTGTTTCAGGATATTTAGTGTAACTTAACATACATGTAACCTATAAAAATTAGTTCTAGAAAAGTTCATTGTATCAAGATATACGCGTATTAGTTTTGTAAAGTGTCATGTCACTAACCAATCATTTTGTCTATACACATAAGAAGACAAAATATGGTTATATTTTAAAAAAATGTAGGCTTATATATGCCCCATTCAATAACTTTCAGAACTTATACAGGATAATATGCCAACTGTTTACTCAAATTTCAAATCATATTTTTCTCATGAGTAGAATTCTTGGGTGATCGTTTTATGCATGTATAATGATCGAATGATACTGATAAACAAATTTGTCTATCTCATCTCTTGTGCGAAAGGCATTATATACTGTAGTCTAATTAATTCTGTTTTCTTAGTTACAATAATCAAGTCTCACCCATCGTTATAACTCAAGTCTTTGATGATAGACCTGAAATTTCAATAACAAAAAAAAAAGCAGATAATAAAAATTGAAATCAAATTTAATTCTATTTAAAGTTTCTAAATATATCTAAAAAAAAACAAAACTAAACAGAATCATTTATTTTTGATATTATACATTTTTATCTTTAGTATAGTTCTCAAATTTTTTCCAAACATCAATTTGTCGAAAATAAATTCCACGTAAATGTCTTGGTCCAGTAAATGCTTCTCTTGCATGTAACATTTTATAATTATCATAAAGAACAAAATCTCCACTATTTAATGTAACTTTATATTGACATTGAGGATCATATAAAATTGATGCATATGTACGATATGCCTTATAATAAGCCGTTGTTAACCAAAATGGAAAACGAAATGGTGCTAAAGTAAAATAACTATGACGAACTTGTTTTATTTCATCACCGTTTGTTTCAATTATTGGACCAATATGAATACTTTCAAATTGTTTTTGTTTTCGATGAAAATGAACTGGTACAGTTGTTAATAAATAATATGCATTGGGATCGATTTCACGAAGATAAAGTGCAGCATCACAAGCGTTTACAAGTGTATTCGATCCACCAGTGTCTGCTCGACGAATACATTGTAATAATTGCATACCTATAAACATGAAAAACGAAGTATAGAAACTAAAACATTTTAAAATCAACATGCCTGGTGGATCAGCAATAAATGGTTGATCAGTATGTAAATTAATTGCTGCATCTGTATAGCCTAATTGATCTGTATTTTGATTTGTTGTATTATCTGTACGTAAATCTTCAATACGACCAAAATGTGTTGAGACAACTGATGCACCAGAAGGTAAAAAATCTTGACTATAATTACAAAAAATAAAATAAGATGAAATGTGAAAAAAAATTACTTACATGAGTTCTTCTGTATCTAAACCACGTTGACGAACAACAACTAATCCAAATTTTTTTAATCTTTCAGCACAATTATTTAGATAAGTTTCATATTGATTTTTATTATAAATTAATTCAATATCTTCAAGTTTTGCTTCAGGTTTCTTAGCTTCGATTCGATTTTTTCCATATGCATTTGCTACTAAATATGTTAAATCAAATAGAGTAGTATGATCTTTTGACCAAACAATTTTAAGCTTTTGTTTATTATCAATTAACTCTACATGTTCAGGTTCGATTGTCGATGGAATTTCAGCACAATCAACAATACGTTCACCAGTTTTTGGATGAATAGATTTACCTATCTCATGACAATTATGTCGTAACCAAATGTAATGAAAATCCATAGTATCATTTTTGTCAATTAAACGAAGATGATCTTTACGTTTTTCAACATGAAGAACACGTTGACTGTTAGATGGTAATGAACCATGTAGAAAACGAAGAAGCGGACGAAAATGTTTAATAGTTGTCATTGTTTCATATATATGAATATTATCTTTTTTTGCACGTTGTTTTTTTTTTATATTCTGATGATAAATGTTAACTATAGAACAATAATTTAGGTTAAATGTAATCGCTTTTTGTTTTCGTCAGATGATAGTCATGTTTTTTTTCTTTACACATAAATAACGGTAAGACTATAGACACGATAACAAAACAAAGACAACATGCATTTTTTCTCACGACCTTCTAAAACGTTTTAACGCTATTGGATAAAAAATATTATTCTTTTTCGAGTTACATTAAAGGTTTTTGTAAACATAGTGTACTATATATGAAATAATGTTCTTTTATATCAAGAATTTCATGACATATATGTTTGATTTTATAATTGTAATGAAACTGGATGAGTTTTCCTAAAAATCTCTATAAGAACTAACTCACTAATATTTCTTTTTTTATCGAAATATCGAAAATCTGCATGTTTTTTCTGATTTTATGGAGATGTCGTAAACAGATAGAAAGTGAACTTCTCTAAAAATATTGAAACTACTGTAAATGAGAAGAAACATCTGTGTTTTTACTTAATCAGTAATTGCATATTATCACTTTCGCACAAACACTGGTAGAAACTGATTACATCGAAAAGTATATGCTGTAGGCAACTGAGAAAAGAAACAATCAATGCCCTTCGAACGATTATCACAAATAGTTTTTTTATTATCATATTGCTACTTTTTTTATTTTACGGAAAAGAAAACGAGTATTCAAATTACTTAAACAGTTTTTCGTATATAGAATGAGCAAGAATTCAAATTTGATTATCTGTAGCTAGGGATACTTGTCCACTAAAGTCATTGTCAGTCATGATTCGATATAGAAATGTAGTCATTGATGATGCATGAAATGCACATTTGTCACTCTCAGGTAACTATCATGTTGTTAATCGAAAATATTATTTTTCACATAGCTACATCTTTTCGTAAAAAAATAGGTTTTTTTAAAGAAAAGTTTTGTTTGAATCTCTTTCCTTCCGCTAACTTTTTCTTCACATGAATGATTTAATATATATAGGCCTTTATATTACAATATACAAATAAAATATTAATAAATATTACACTGAACTATCTTGGGTACATAGCTTACGATTAGGAGGGGGAAGCAGGGTGATTTCCCCCTCCTAAATTTTTTCTTATATTCTGCCTTTCTCCCAGAAAATCTTCTGTTATGAAGAGCTAACGATGTTTAATCTTTCGGTGGACTAGATTGGCTATGCATAAGCGAAGTTCTGTTTCCAATTTTTTTAAGAGAACAAGCTATTTTCTTTCAAAGAGAAACTGAATCAGGTCGACTTGATTCGGTTTCTCTTTCAGTTTTATTTATTTTCTTTNAAGCGAAATGTGTAGAATATTCACGACACTTTTTGCTCTGATACTCATTTTCACCCGGAATATTGTGAAAGAAATAATTATGTGCACAGATTCTTTTGAAGAAAACATTACCGCAACTTTCATGAATCGTGTGACTGGCAGGTAACTAATAGTCAATTCAAATTTCCCTGAGGAATTGTCACAGCGACACTGATCATTCCTTGATCTATTAAAAATTCCTATTTTTCAGCCCTTAGACGCTGCTGTTTCCCGCAGCGGAAGTGAGCAATTCTCCAAATTTCGTGATATATGGCAGTACTCTCTGAAAAAAGTTTAATAGTCTGAATGCACGTGGAGACTGCGAAATCTGGCAGTGCACTACCACCATCCCGGTCCGCTCATATCTGATATGCACCACAAATTTCTCGTTAGTAATACTATTTCTGCAATGAAATTACTGCTAAGTACAATTTCACTGGCCTTCAAATTACATATACAGGGTATTATAAAAACATTACGGCGCCCTCTGGAACTCAAAGTCTAAATGATATCATAAAGGATTTTAAACAAAATTAATGCTCATGAAAAACTGAATTGATGAGTGTAATTCGAGCAATTATTGCCTATGAAATCACTGAAATTGCTTGAGTTGCATGTCAAAAGGAATTCCTACTTTACAATTCGATTCTTCATGTACATATTCTCACAAAAAATAATAGCCGATTTGTGATCTCTATCAAAAAGCAAATCTATAGACATATGACTTGTATATTTTTGACGAAAACAAACTTTTTGAAAAAATCCTGGAAGCTATCCCATGGTAGTTCTTTTATAGGCCTAATACTATAAGATTAAGGATAGTTTTTCGCCTTAATTAGCACACATATTTCAATTTTTGCTTTTATATTACATTTACCAACACAAATACTTTCAAATTTGTGATCTTCATCAAAAACTGCGTCCACTGATATATAAATCGAGATATTTTAGTTCACAAAAAAAAAATTTTTGTCTGCGGTATATCCCACGACTTTTGCCAAAATTTTGTTTTTCGTCAATAATATAGAAATCATGTCTATAGATTTACATTTTGATGGAGATCACAAATCGGCTATTATTGTTTGCAAAAATATCTACATGAAGAATCAAAATCGTAAAGTATGAGTTCCTTTTGACATGTAACTCAAGAAATTTCAGGGATTTCATAGGCAATAATTGCTCTAATTACACTCATAACTTCAGTTTTTCATGAGCATTAATTTCGTATAAAATACTTTATGATATCATTTAGACTTTAAGTTGTACAGGGGATCGTAATGGTTTTATAACACCGTGTGCAATAGGATCTTAAAATGGAGACTTTTGACTGCCATCCAATATTAAACTTTTCTAGTCTTATGAAAACTAATGAAGTTTTTCTATGTTGTAGGTTCAGTTTCTTTGGATAAGAGAAATTTTCTAGTATTCATTTCTCATTGTTATTGTAAAATGTTCAATTCTTATTACTGTTATAAGTAGTCATAAATACTACTCTCTAAGCCTGAGCATTCTTGGCATATTGGAAACTGCGACGGTTACAGATTTGGAGAAAAAAAACGATTTTATGGCCTATATGATCATTACAGTTTAGCAGATCTCCTTTTTCCCAACAGAATATTAAGTCTATTGTTGACAAAGTCATAGTGACAACTGCATATTTTAAAGTTTCTTCTATCGAGACAAATTAAAATAGCTATAAAAGACGGATTCGATTAGTTTTCTTTTAAGATTAGAAAAGTATGGTGTGCGATAAAAGTCAAAAGTCTTCATTTCAATATCCAATTATAGAAGTAATTACTAGATAGAAATAAGAACTTAAATATTTCTCAGATCAGTCGAAGCGAAATAATATCTTCAATGAGACACAAATAAAATACTAAAACACTTTTACATTATGATTTAAGAGTTTCTGTACCAATCGTTTTTCTTTCTTTCTATATCATGTATATCTGAAGAAACCGTTTATCAAAAGTAGTTAATAAACAGCACAACAATAAACATGGTATGTTTTAAAATATTGCTCATGTACATCAAAAAAACTATTTGGGAAAAACTAATATATATTTATTGTATAGGAGATATGTTCGAAACTTAGCATTAATTCGTCACTTAATTAGATCGGAATAAAACTTCATCATGCACAGGAAAAAAAATACTTTTGTATCGACATGCTCTAACTACATTCNGCTAAAACAGAGGATATAGATGATGCTTTCATTTTATTAATATTTTTATTGCAAATTTAAAAGTTTTTTTAAACACAAAGCGATAAGAACTTAGAAAAACTAAAAAACCAAAAATTTAGAAAAAATAAAAATTTTTTATAACAAACAAAAAAATATTTTAGTACCAATGCTGAATATTATTGAAATTTTATCAATATACCTGGACCTTCATTAACGAAAAAAAGCTATTATAGACGACTGTCTTACAAGTTGCGAATGAGACTCTGCTGTTTCGAAAGATACTACCTAGGAAACATGTAGAGATCAGTGATGTGCAGTTTTAGAGCAAGTTTCACGTTTTTACTCAATTGGCCTGCAGCACAGAATTGAGCACACTGGAATGTCATTTAGACAAGAAATATTCTTGACCTATGGGAAACGTCGATCTTTTTTAGAAAGCAACAATGAAACTTATCGATGATAAAAAAATTGGAGAGCATATATAACTGTATTGAATTGTGTCTAAAAACCAAATTCACATAAATTTATGCTAGATCATCATAAGGCCTACAGTATCTATGAGTATTATATATATATTCCTATAGAATTACAACCAGTATATAGACCCTCGGTACATAAAAACTTGAGTTCCTTTATATCATTCGATGTGCCTTAAAAATCTCTACAAAACCATGTATAGGATGTTCTGATTCTAAGTAGGTCACCCAATCCGGCAGGCTCCTTTCACCGTACAGGAACTGCATAAAAAGCAGTCTCCACGAAACTTTAGCTCATAATTCATTCTACTACAAGAGGTAGAATGTTTTTCGAAAACTAATCTTTTAATTTTTTTAAACTGTTGTCATCAGTAATTGTTTAGTTTTCTAATTTTTTTTAATTTTTTCAAGTTTTTGTATTCTTCTAGATTTTAATTTCTTTATTCATCTATTTTTTTTTAATTTTAAAACTTTTTTCTAGATATTAATTCTTTTATTTTTCTACTTTTTTTAGCTTTTTTTAACTATTAAACATCTTATATGTATTTGTATTATTTATTTTTTTAATTTTTTGAAATCTTGTTTTTTGTTTGTTATAAAAAATTTTTATTTTTTCTAAATTTTTGATGTTTTAGTTTTTCTAAGTTCTTATCGCTTTGTGTTTAAAAAAACTTTTAAATTTGCAATAAAAATATTAATAAAATGAAAGCATCATCTATATCCTCTGTTTTAGCAATTGCGACGCAGTTACAAGCCACTTCAATTTTTTCGCTGCAGTTACGGATCACAGTGCGATCACAATTACACCGTAACTGCACCGCAGTTTTTTTATGAATTAATTATACTGGAAAATCTCCCACTCCCGACCAATACCAATATTTTTGTTCGTTCTCTCGATGTTAAAATATGTAATATTCATATGGACATAATACAAAAACGAAAAAACTATTTTTCTTACAAAAAAAGACATTTCTTTTTCAATTAAATTATTGATGATTTATTCCAAATAATTTACATTTACGAAATAGGATTTTTAATGTTCAAAGTAAATGAAATTAAGGCGAGCTCTTGCTAATTACGATCCTACGTGTTATCTTCACATATACCATTTTATATTGCAATTAATGTCTTAAACTCATTACAGAATACTTGCATAAATCATAGTCTAAAGGTTTAGCGCATTGTTTTATAAAAATAAATATATTCATTGATAAAAGGAAGGACTGTCTTCAAATATGACATCATTCTTCTACTAAATCAATGTAAAGTTCTGTAGTCTTTTCTTTACTTATAAACTATCAATTATAATTGTATATTGCTAGCTTTTAATAATTTTATCATGGATTCATCTTGAAAATCACCTATAAACTTTTTATATTGATATTTTGTACAAATAAAAGTCTTGATCACACTAAAAGATAAAAATTTTCATAGGACTAAATATTTGTAAGAGAACAGTTCAGCTTTGTTCAAAAATTCTGAAACTTCAAGACGGAAAAGTTACAAGCCAATTTCATAATATTGATTCGATAGTTTGGTTAACTGTACTCTATAGAAATTCGTTATTATCGAACTTCAAGAAGATTCATATCAGAATTTCTTAATTTTGAAGTACGATTTAACAAATCAAAATGCATTCAAGCGAAGAGCTGCAACAATAAATATAGATGAAAAATCGTAAATAAACAACATTTACTGTCATTCATGTTCAAATGAATTTTAAATAAGAAAGATATTAAAATAGAAATTAATCATACTACTGAAAGACATTCTGCCAAAAGTAAACGATGAGAGTAGGAAAACCTTCAGCTTGCCTCATATTGTAGTTTACAGATAGATCTTGTCGGATCTTGCTAATAACTTCTTTAAAATGTTCTTAATATCTTAAGAAGTACAACATCGTTATATAATTAGTTTATTCATGTTTAATTGCAACTCGCTATAAAAATCATAAATATAAATTATTCTTTTTAGTTTTAATAAAGATAATTGGCCATTGACGTCATAATATCAATGAATGCATTTTTTATTAGTTATCTTTGTTGTCTTTTTTTCTGAGAAGCAGATTGCCATTGATGGAATAAAAAAACACTCATAGGTCAATATTTGAACATCTATCTATATCTTTTTCATCTCTGACTGCAGCATGAACGATAAACATTCTCCTTGATTTTCTTTTATATGAACGTAGTACCCATGAATACGACGAATGAAATAACTAAACCATTAATTTTTTGTCTTGATAAATCGAATAATTCAAATTTAAAACAACATCTTTGTAATTTTTCTACACGATTTTTTAATGATGGTAAATATTTAATAAAAAGTATATTATTAAATAAAACGGCTGAGTTTCATCCATCAGCACTTATATTTACTGGAGATTATAATTCAATTAAAGAAATTCTTACAAATCAACATTGTCATTCAATAAAAATATTTATTTTTTGTCAAAATTTTACAAGACAAATTTATGAACCACTTATCAATGAATCAAAATCAATTGATCATATTATTGGATTATTTACAACAATTGACGATTTAAAAGATGCACTTGAAGATATTTTAATTAAAACAACACATGATCGACAACTTATTCGTTTTATTACTGGTTATTTAGAACCATATTTATGGTATGAATTTTTAAAAGAAACATCATTTAAAATTGATACAGATCTTTCAAAACAATCAATTGATATATCTATAGTTAATAGACAAATTGAATATGATCCATTAATTACTTTATATACACTTCGTTCATCTATTCGTAATTTATCACAAAGAAAAATTTCAAGTAAAAAAATTTTCTACGGAAATGTAATAAAAAAGAATTTAATTGAAAAACTTCAATCAAATATAAATAATATTATATCATTTAATTCATTTGTTCATCTTCAAGGACATAATCGAATACAAGATGCTCGTCATCAATCAATTCAATGTTGTTCTCGTCGTAATGATGAAGTTTCAATTATTTTTGAACTTGAATCAGCTGATCAACCAGCATTTAAAATTATTCGAGTTTTTAATTCTAATAATGATACTAATTTATGGATTGTACAATTAATTGGTACACGTGAATGTGTAAAATTATCTAAACAATTTTCAAATATTAAACGTACTAATATTACATTAACTCAATGGCAACAACCAGAAATTTTATTTGGACAAATTTTAATTGAAATGAATGAAATTGATAAAGCATATACATATTTTTTTCATATATTTATTAAACAATATGATCAACTTGATAAAATTTATACAAAAGCTAATCAATTATGGCAAAATGATAAAAAATATACAGAAGCTGTTGCACATATTGCAACTGAATTTCAACAAATTAAATCAATAACTTCATCAGATAAGACTGTAAATAAAGAAAAAGACGAATTAACTTATTTTGAATCAGAAATCGATTCGACATGGGAAACACCAATTGCATTACAAGATACTAATAAAATAAACGATCTTTTAACACCAATATCCTATCAAGTGGATCAAGTGTTAACCAGTGGAAATCTATTAAAACAATTAAACTCAACATCTACAAGTCGATGTTGTTTTCTGCTTTGATTCTTTTTCCTTTATTTTGTCATGTGTCATGCATATTTGTCAGGATTTATTCAACACCGAGTCAAGACACGTATTAACGATGACAGATAGTTAACTGATCTATTAGGTTCTTACTCTCTATACTCTGATATTTACTCATATCAACTTAATTTCATTGAATATAATAAATAATCTAGCCAGATCAAAGCATAGGTAAAACCTTGATCTGTTTTTTTTCTAGCTCATAATAAACCAGATCACATATTTTCCCTCGATATCAATGAGTTTTTCTCAAAACAAAATTAATAGTATATGAGCAAACATTAGTTGACTTTGTACTCGATCTATGCATTTGTAATTTTAATCATCTTTGCATTAATTAAATGAAACCTTTTCAATAAATTCAAATATTTTATTCGTATATCAAAGGAGAAAAACTCATTATTACATAAAAAAAAAAACAATAACCTTTTGATCATGCACATATAAATATAAATATTTCATTATTTATTGATTATTCTCAATTGATAATGTCAGGGTTTTTTTTTTGTCATAATTTATCAAGTATTTCTACAAATGTTGTTTTGAAAAAACTCTATATAAAATTGTGATCTACAGAAAATTTCTAATCAATCACGGATAGTACAAAATATATTTTTGAATAACAATCGATATTAATTACAAATAGGTTAATATTTTAATGCATATTCAGTTTGAAGTTAATAATATGAAAGTAACTTATATGAATTTGATGTTTATATGCAAATAAAATGTTTAAAAATATAAATTGATTATTTTCATAATTTTGTTTTTCATATTTACTTGCCACAATAGAAATATCTTTACTTATTTTACATGCATTTCAATTATTTCATTATAATCTTCATGTGTAGAGATTTTATTTCGTCTTCATCTAACGAGAGAATCTGTTTGAAATATTAAAAAACTGTCAACCTGTTTTTTTTGCGCATTATTTGAAAGATCGTTAAACTACGAAAGTCCTAAGACGAAACGGACACACCATACTACTATCGATTTCAAAATATAATATGCTCCACTATGTTTTAGATAACTTGTGATAGGAATATTGTAGAGGCCTGTGGTTTTCACCATTCAAGCAAGGAGAAATGGGGCAATCGAACTATATCGCAACTTGATTGATCATCAACTGATCAATCAAGTGAGTTCTTGGCTGAGACTTTCAAAAACGACAGTTTGAAGCTATTCCCCTTTTGATGTACACAAGATGCAAAAATTCCTAGTTTATTTGTGTTTGAGAGTTATAAGACTCTTCTAAAGACTCCCAATTTCAACTAATTGATCTATGATCATCCGGAAAAGCAGCTAGGCAGCAGTTACTCAACATGCTGAGTCAAATGGTGATGTTTCTTTTTAGATTCGAAACAGACACTGTCACCAGAACAGAACACTACCTCAATTTATACGCTGTGATGGCACTTGTTCTGAGTACGAAGCAGTGCGAAAAAGACGCCCTGTGACGGTCTCTATGTAGGAACCTGGATATTTTAGAAAACCCATATTTTTTAATTTTAATCTGAAAATTTGCTCACACAGAGAACTCAAATAGGCCAGCTTCAATAAAAAAAATTCAGAAGTTATATGCAAAGTCTCTTCGAAGAAATATAAGACTTTCAAGATATAGTTCCTTTTCAACAAATATTATATACAAACATGCATTTTTTGAAATCTTCGTATCTCGAGACTTTATTCAGAGCTTGTGAGCTTTTTATTGAACTAGTATAGTTGAGTTCTCTATATGCGCAAATTTTCAGATCAAAATTCAAAAGTACGAGTTTTGCGAAAATGTGAGACCTCTGGAAAGTAGACATGCTAAAAAGTCAATAGCCTAGTCAAGTCTCAATAGACAACAACTCATTGAAATTGGAAGAGGGAAGGAGGGGTATTTGAAGAGGTTCCCTTGTTAGTTGTTACTCTGTGGTAACAATTCCTATTGTAATAGTAACACATATTCAAACAGATAATTGTCATTTATTAGAACTATTAATTAATCAAGAGAAATGTATCCACAACATGAGACAATTAAGCAAATGACAAACAAAAAAAAGGAACGATACCCTACTGTCAATAATTATTCGTATATATCAATGAAGCATGATCTCTTTCTCTAATAGTTAGAAAGTTGTTTACCGTTTACTGGATGTTTGGTCTTTTGTTATTGTTTAACTTGTTCATCTCAACCAAAGGCTTCACTTTTAAAATTGCCTACACATGTAGAAAGATTCAGTAAACATTAGATTAATAACATTCTATTAATGGTGACAAAAAATACAAGAGAATGTCATAACTTTAATATCACAAATCAGGAAAAAAAGTGGAATTTCTCTTGATGAAACAAACATAAAATTTATGTATTCGAATTTTATTGACTAAAACAGACCTTTTAATCAAACAGATATAATGAACTTCATATTCCATCAACATCAGGAAAATAAATTAATGAAAAACTCTAGTTTATCATTTAATATATCATTCTTTTTAATGAAGAACGTGCAACTATCATTTTAATATATTTTTTAAAAGATCCTAGAAACCATAGTACTTTGATGTCAAATTCAGGATAAGGGGTTGTGTTATTGATTGCGTTCTCTTACAATGAGTTTTTGTTATTTTACGAGCATAATTGAATCTTTGCTAGTGCTATCATTGTTAGAATCAATGTTTATTGCTTTCATAACTAAGCGAATCAGAATGATCAAATAAATTGCTATTATTGGCAAGTGATATCTGCTGTATGTAAGTATATCAGAGAACTGTAAAACTTTAATAAATGTTTACCAGGGCAATAAAAATATCAAGATGAGATAAGTGACAGTTATATATAATATGAATAATTATTTACATTTATTAATAGTTATCATTCTGTGAAGTAGCGTTAATTGTGGCTTGTAGCGATCTTTATATGTTCATACCAACAACATATAATAACCATCTTGTATTGCTTATCGAAAAAAACGAAAGAGCTAAAAATATCAAAAGTGAAAAAAATCAAGCTGTCATCCTGAATTTGACGCCAAAGTACTATAATTTGGCAAAAGAAATCGAATGACTCATGTCCTTAGTCATTTACGGTGAATATACTTTGTTTTGACTGACGACAACGTGGCAGAAAGAACGCAAATATTTTGTGCACTGATCGAGTTTTTTTTTGCTTGTATTGAAAAATTTGCAGCTTCAATTTCCATTTTTAGACGAACAAAAAACAAATACAGGTAACAGTAAAATTTCATCGTTCAATTTTAATAATAATGACAAATTGCAATTGGATGATAATTATACTAAGTATTCTATGTACAGTGACAATTGTTGTATCTGACAATAATTCTAACTATTTACCAAAATCAATTAATGAACTTAAACAATATTATGATGTGATTAACAATTTAGAAGAACGTGGTATTTTAAATAAAGATATTGCTGCTAATGAAAAACAATTATACATTGAATATGCATCAAAACTTGCTGGAAGTAAAGAATTATTAACTGAGGAAGAATTCATAACATGGAAACAACGACAAATAATTATATCGTTTTCAAATATAATAGCTGTACTAGCTGGTATTACTGTTATTATATCGTTAACAGTATTAGCTGCTATTTGTATAATACCAATATTAGTTCATATACCAGCTATTTGTTGGGAAATATTTTTTTATGTAATATCAATCTCTTTAATGATATTAAATCATAATTCATGGTTAATTTTCTTTGGTTGTCTTACATTTATACCAGCGTTATTATTTACAATTAAATTACATTTTTCAAGAGATGAACATGCTGCTTTAAAAGCATGTTGGATATGCTTTTTCGTTTGGACTATTGTAGCTATTTATCAACAACATCGTGAAGCAGGTTATTTAGCTGTTATGGCATTAGAATCATCATTAGGTTTTGTAATACTTGTTGGACAATTAGTTATTATGATTGGATTTCATAATGAAAAAGTTATTCCAAGTGCTACAATAGCTTCATTTGTTTTAATTCTTATTGGAATTATTTTACACGTTAAAGAACAATCAAATATATTAACTATTCCATTTACTCGACCATTATTATTTTTAGGAACATTTGTTTATTTTATTGGATTGCTTATTCTTAGTTCTCGATGGTATAGTAGACGAAATGCAGGAAACCTTATAGCTTGGTCATTACAAATTATTACATTTTGTAGTGGATTAGCAACAATGTTTTTTGGTCCAATGCTTGAATTACCATTTGTTCAAGCTATTGGTGGTACAATGTTTGTTGTATGGTTATTAGAAAAATACGTTGAAATTGCACCATGGAAAAATACAATAGCAGTTGCTGGTAGTTTATTAGGTTTTGGGTTATTACTATATGGATTTGCATACTTTTTGCAAACGAATCCCGAATATTTTATTTTTCACGAATACTCTTCGAAATGAACATGCGAAACTTATCTTTCTTTGATTATTTTTTTTTAAATTAATTTATTCACGAAACTGTGATATTCTTTAATTGCTGTGAGATAATGAATATGATGAGATTTTAATCCCTTCAGAAGAATGAGTAGTTTTTTAACAATTTACACTATAGACCAGACATATCTGCATTGTGTTTATCAAAATAGGCAGATATTTTTTTGCCAGTGATAAAAATTTCAAAGTCTTTACTCATAAAAACAATGTGAAGAAGTGTCTTTTGGAACTAACAACATAAGTTTAAAGAAAAAAATTTTACTTTCTTTTTTTACGATTTTCACAAAAAAATCATCTATACCATATATTCTAAAATTGATTTTCGGAGAACAAACTTTTACGAATTTGCAATGCTTTATTTATTAGTAGATAAATTTTGTTCAAAGAATAAAGAAATATTCGAAAATTGATTCACATTTTGAATAGTTACATATTTTATAATTGAACGTTCTTACATACGTAGCAGAGCTTGGCATAGGATGAAACGATCTACCTGTTCTGGTGTCCTGTTCTCACCTCTGATACGTACATAATTTACACGACCGAGTAAAAGTCTCATTACCTCCTTCCTTAAATATTAGTCACTATAAAAGCTAATATTCTGGCTATATATGTGTATATACTTCTAGAAACATACTTCAGTAGCACGATTCGCATCCCCAATTACTTCAGTGAAAACGAACTAATGATAAATGATATCTATTTTTGCTTGAGCTTCAAACTTTTGAAAGGGAAGAGCTTTATGAATGAACAGAGCCATCATTATGTAGCGCCATGTTCCAGATATGTTTCATACTAGTTTCGTAGAAGTTCATGAACTCATGACAGAGTTATAATGATTTTATTATAACTATTAGTTTGAAAAAAACAACCTATCTATTGCTCTTTGAATACCCAAAAATTAGTGATATAGTACAAGGTATTGCTCTGAAACGGTTAGTGAAGTGCATTTTTTAACAACTTGGCCTTGTAACTGGCAAGTTTTCGAATCGCATATTGTTCTAAAGAAAAATTACACATTGATGATCAAGGTGTTATTGTATCGAATTGGGAGATATCAATATTCGAACAAATAAACTATTCAGCTTTTGGATGTAGAAAGACTCTAGGTCGAGCTTTAGTTTTATGTAAAAACATTTAGAACCAATTATGAATTTGATTAGAAATTAGACAAACTTCGGTAGCGAGCTTTTTTGCGTGTGCATGTGAGTGTAGACGTGGATGAAGAGAAGATTTTTGTCCATACCAACCCACGTACTCACACTTACACCCCGTTTCGATCTTGAAGCTATATGTATGACGTTATTTGCTCATTTGTTTTTTTATTGATGGATAGTGACGCTAGACATTAAAAACATTATGAAAAATGTCACAATACAATACTGAACAAATTTGCTCGAGTTTCTAATGATTAATGTTGTTGTTGACGAGAAAATTTTATATTATGTGATTTGATTGACATTGGAAATTTTGAACTATTCGACGTTGTGATCAGTTGGCTTAACTAGTGATCGATAGAGATTCTTTTTTTTCTTGTTTCAAAGAAAATTGTCGATCTGTGATTATTCTTTTATAAGTACATATATATATATGTAAATCAAATTTCGTATGGTGTGGCATTTCATTAAAACATTTTATTCATATTGGTGTATCTGTTAGAAGAATTCGATTATTTGAACTTAAAAATAGCATTTGAAACTTAGAATACTTCTTTGGCATAGATAATATATTGTCTAATGGAAAAAAATTTATCAGAAAGTTTGATAATTAATGCACATACAGATATTCGTTGAAAATTATTGCTATATCGAGTTATGGTAGAAATATTGTTTTAATTTTTCACTATGATTCGAAATAATCCAATTAGATTTTGACTTTTTTTGAACATTTTATTGTACATTATTAATAATCATTGTTTGACTTTTGTCGAAGTTTTTATCTTAGCCTTTTCCACACACACGTACAACAGTTGCAATAATTAATACATTTCTCAACCTTCTATTATGCTGATCTCTTTCGTTAAAATTCTTTTTTCTTTTGCAGCAATCTACCTTTCTATGACAAAATGAAATTATTAGATAATTTATGTAGAAGTTTTTAAACAAAAAAGGATTTTCTTTTGTATAATGTGGATTGACTTGTCTCAATATGGGTTTGTCCGATATGAATGTTTCTGGAAGAGAAAAAAAAAGAATTTATTTAAGTTTTCTTTTTCTATTCCCCTAGAAACACAAGAATGATGATCAAAATTGTCATAACGTATATAGATGTTTATTCTTACGACTTTTTTTTTCAGTTCATACGGATTCTAACTTGGTGATGGTTTTGTATATGAGATGAAAGTAAATAAATTCTAAAACGAAATGATGAATATCATATAATGTAACTAGTACAAATGTTTGTTATTTTTCTGTTTGATCTAATATACGAGATGTTTTTATTAAAGTTCAGATTGTTTTTACATTGTCAAAAATATCTTTGTTCATAGAATAAATGAAATAATAGTTCTTCCATTTGTTATCGTTTTTTGTTGCTATTTCACGATCTTTTCAATGTCTCGATCGGTCATTCTATAAACACATTGTGATGCGAACGTGTTACTTTATTATATTTAAATGTATTGGTATATCATTTTCTGATTGATTTCACAAAGTCTCCTTCTTGTGAATGAATCAGACAGTATTGAAATATTAAATTTCAAGTGCAGTGACTATCAAAAAATGATCCAACTAGTAGATGAGGTTATTTCATTGTATGAATATTCCAAAAACTAGAGCAATTAAAATGATCTGATTTTCATTAGATTACAGCTCATAATCTATAGTATATTGTTTAAAGAGTTCAGATCAACTCATTGATATGTTTAGTTTTTATTTATGATACAATCGCAGCATGTCATATTTCGCTCTTTTAAAACAATCTAACCATACTTTTATATGAACTTCGGTGTACTTGTTCTAAATGAAAATTTTCTTTATGATACATAATTCACTAGGCAAACTTGTGTTTTACGTACGGAATACTTTTTATGACAGTTTTCCTTTGAGTTTAATTATGAAAACAATTTTTTTGGATCTATGCAGGAAATGTGCAATAACAAGACAAGAAAAGACTCCTTTTTTCATATTGTTCAATAAAGCATTAGAAAGAGCATGACAAATTGCATGCTATATTCTATTTGAATAAATTTTTCATGTTGAAAAATTTTATGGGTCACTTCCTATGCTTACACCAATCACAGAAAAACTTTTTTGTATAGTCTGATTCATGCATTGAAGAAAGTTTAAAGAAATATTTCAAAAGTCTGGATGTTTAGGCAACTCTGTTCCATCTCAAACTCTTATATTTGAAGTCAAAACCAACCTAACTTATCTATTTTTATTACTCTATAAATGAGTAGAAATAAGAAGCTTACCATACTGTCAGCAACATACTGGATATGTATCTCACGAAATAAAGATGTGACGAACGTAACTTAAAACATCACATTGTTCTAAATTTCATCCTCTATCTACATGAATGTGATGCACAAAACCATCTTTGTAGTTAATGAAACCTACAATAAGATTATTGCTGAGACTACGGCAAGTATTTTTTTGCTTCTGCTATTTATGATGTAACAAAGGTATATAACTTAAGTGATATGATCGGTTTTGATTTCAACTATAAGAGTTTTGTACGGAAAACAATTCTTTAAAAATCCACGCTTTTAAAAGCATTTTTTTTATACCGTAATTCTAATTTGCAATATCTATTCAAATAGAATATATCATGCAATTTGTAGTGCTCTTCTTAATGATATATTGAACAATAAATTGGCTAAACATCATATAAGAAAAAAAAAAACTTTTGCCGCCTTATTATTGACAACTTCCTGTATACGTCAAAAAAGAAATTGTTTTCATACTTAAACTCAAAGAAAGCTACGATAACAAAGTATCCCATATGTGAGACATTATTTGTTCTATTGAATTATTTATCATAAAGAAAATTTTAGTTTAGGACAGGTGCATAGCAATTCCCACAAAAAAAGTCGTGAAATAATTTTGATATTGATTGTATATATGTATACATGTAAGACTTTCTTGTGAATACTTCCAGCCGCTTTTGTAATTTTAATTAATATAAATTTTCCAAGAGACTTCACTTTCTCTTCAATTATATTCTCGAAGTTATCCGCACTTGTCATACTCAACATATGATATATGTGAGTTTTTAGAATATTTGAACATCTCTACATCAACAATTGAGATAATTCAAAGAAGGAAAATTGACGAATTAGGCTAGAAGAAAGCATTTTCATTATATATTGCTTTTAATATAATATGTTTATGAGTTCTATGGAATAAAAAAAACAGTCGTAGATGTTTGATTCTATTACACAAACTGAAGAAGACAAATGTTTTATCTGAAGAATATTGCTCGACATCTTACTGAGCTAAATCTATTTCGTACATTGCACAGCAATGAAGATACACTTTATGATGAACGTCTTTCAACACGTTTATATTTAATATTACTTAATATAGGTATAGTTACAATATTTCTTTATATGATCTTAGCTAAACAAATGATTATGTTCACAATAAATTGGCCTTCAATATTCGATTATGAAAAATTAATTATTACAGATGCTGATAATACAATTGATTGTCCTTGTTCATATATTGCTATTGAATATCGATCGTTTGTAACAACAGAAGCTTCATTTCATCAGGTAGGCAATTTTCAAGTTGAATTCGAGAAGTAATATTCATCTTTTATTAAACAGATATGTTCGAGTGATTTCGTATCAGAATCATGGATCAAACAAATGTATCCTACAAATCTTTCATACATATATCCAACGGATATACGACGATCATTAAGTGCAAATGCTCAATTACTTCATTCATTTTGTTCACTTTCACAAGTGATTGTCTATGATAGTATGGTAAAATTTGGTTCATCTTCACTTATTGCTGCTCGTTTAATGTCTTAATCATCTGTGCATATTCAAGTTAATAGTTCACTAGATTTAATGCGAAGTACATCATCAATATCATCTTT